TATGAAATGCAAAGTTTTTATTCTTTAGATTTGACATTTATATACAATATTTGTTCTCAGGCTTCTTATGATAGATGTAACTATGTATGTACTATATGAATTTAATAAATTAAGTAAAGTAATTATAATTTCAATTATTGCTTCTACTCTATTAAATAAAGTAATTTTAGTTCTAATTATTTTAATTTTTAAATAATATTTGCATTATATTTGAAATACTTGTATAATTAGAAAATGTATTTTTTTAAATATATTTACTGATATATTAAAATTAAATTATAATACATTTTAAATATAACTTAATTAACAATATAAATTATTTAATAAGCATGAATATTTATTCATATTGTATAGTATGTATATTCTATATATCATAAAACAAAAGTTTAAAAGTATAAAGTACACTTTAATAACGACAAATTAAGCATAATACGAAATTAAATATAAAAACTATAATTTTTTCAAACCCTAATAATTAGTTGTAATATATAATTTACTTTTAACTCGGTTAATTATTAAAATAATAAATAAATTTTTATCATAATACATATTCCACCTAGAATTTACAATTATTATACTTATTATTATTATGAAATTTATTGACAGTATTCTTATACATTTGAAAATTCTATTGGATCAATAATATATATTGTATGCAAAATATAAATTAAAACAATATATAGAATAATATCTAATTTGTTATAGATTATCATTTTTTTATCGTCAGAAATGTGTGTAAGAAACATATTTTCTTTATAAAAATTATATAAATAACTTATCTATTTGACATGTATATTTTTTATGATACTTGTCAGAAATGATCATTTTTTATTAAAATGGCATGATATTATCAAGACTTCGTAATTTTTTGTGTCTGGTAGCGATAACATGACAGCTTCATGAGAAACCGACAACAATTATCGTTGATAAAGAAGTTGCATTCAACATTTCTTTTTAAATTTCTTCGTATATTATATTTTTTAATTCGTTCAATATTTATAGATATTTAACATATTCACAAAATTTACCATATTAACCTTATTTCATTAATTGCATCATATTTAATTAACGTAATTATTCAAATGGTTGATAATTATTAACGATATTAATTTTATGATATTCAATAATAATAGAAATAAGTTTAGAAACATATGATACAATTACTAATAATATCTGAATAGAAAGATTACATTTAACAAAATTTTTATTCCAAAAATTATTTAAAAAAAAATCTTATGCTTACTCGAAAAAAATACTTTGAAAGATATTAATATTTTATTCAATAATGAAGGTAGGATATTATTATTTATATTTTATATTTATACTTTATAAGCATTGAGTATTAAAAAATGTATACAATTGAATTTTAATTTTGAGCGTAAATACTAAAACCAAATATATATTTGTATTAAAAAATGTATAACCGAATTAAAAAAATATGTTGAAAAATATTTGTAAAGAAACCTTTTATTTATTTTTATTGAAATTCTAATACAAAATGACCTACACATTAAATAATAGAAAAAGGTTGAGCATGAATCAAAGCATCTATTTGTATTTTTAATGTTAAAGTAATGTACAGTATAATAGTCTATTTTGCCACTAAAAATATATGTTATTAATATTTACAAGTTAACATTTTTTTATTATTATTTATAAATTTGAAATATGTCTTAAATAATATTTATGTCCTAGTAATTTATGTCCTAATTTTAGAAGAATTTTATTTTTAAATGATTTATCAATGAAACTATATAAAAAATATTGATAATTCAAACTACATAAAATTTAAGTATAACGTATCGAAAAAAATACAATCTAATAATTATATTTAAAAATTATTAATATCATTAATCATTATGATAATGAAATAAACTAATATTAAATATTTGCTAAGCTATTAAATAATTAAAATTGACAATTCCAAACAAAACTTTAGTATTTATTCAAATAATTGAACCAATTATATAACTATAATTTATCCATTAATATGGATATAATTATTATTTAGTATATAGAATTACAGTAAAATTGATTGTTATATATAAATTAAAATTTTATTTTATAAATGTAGAAATTTAATATATTCATAGAATGGAACAATATAAACACCAAAACAAGTAATTGACAATAATCTCTAGGAGTTACATATGCATATATATGTTTGCATTTTATACATAAATTATATATAACGGATTTTGTTGGAACATTATCAGTATAGTTTTATTAAAATTATTTTAATCATTACTAAAATAGTAAAATTTTGTTATTACATATTATAAACGTTTTAATAGTTATATTTCTGTGTTTTTTACAAATTATTTCAATAAAGCATTAAAATACAAATTTTGTATGAAATGAAAATTATAACCTGGCCATTAATAAAATCGTAAAATTCAAGGTGCCTAATATCAAATGATTGCTGTATAAATATTTTATATAAAAATGAATTGTCTGCAATATATACTGCAAAATTTTACAAATTTCTAGTCTGTAATTTTGTAAGATTAAATCCTTTGTACATGCAATACATATGTAATACTATTAATAACTTTACTATTGGTATTTTAACTTAAAATATAATAATCATTTGATAATTCTAAATATTACGTAAATTTCAATAACGTATTACATAATATTAATCTCAAACATAATTGTAAGTGTAGATCGCTTGATATAAAATGCAATATGTAACTAAGTATATATTAAAAAATTGTTTTATAGCAAAATTTTATATTGAAATTCATTATGAAGAAAAATATAAGTAATGTATAATATTGTTTGTTATAACGATGTATTACAGTTGTATATTATTAAAAAATCTAATTAATTCAAAAATAATTTATTAACTTACTAAAACCAACGTTGATACTATTTATTTATATGTTAAAATATATATTTTTAATAAAATAATTACGCTGTTATTATTTTTTATTTTTATTTTACGTTTATTTTAAGTCAAGTTTTCCTTTTACTTTATCAAATTTCTACCTTGACTTCTTTTTATTCAGCATTGTAATTTAAAATTTATTATTTATAAAATGAGTTTGCAAACATTAATTTAATGTGAATTTAATATGAAAATTGTAATAAAGCGTCCAATTGAGGATTATTTGTAATAGATTTAGTTCACACTTTCAAGAAAATGTTGGTTCAGTTAATGTCGACATTTGAACAAAGTATGATAAGATCATTTCAGTATTAATAGCTATCTATTAATACAATATCTTGATTATACTTTTAGCTGCAATGCAATACTGACATATCATTTAATGTTGCGAGTTCAAGGTAATCTTGTAGATGGTACTTAATTATAAAACATAATTATATTGGTAACATAATATATACATAACATAACATAATTATAAATGGTAAGAAAATTATAAAAAATTCAATAAATTTTGAAAACTTTCTCGGTCAATCAAACCAATAAAATAATTGCATAGATTTATTGAAAAATCGTATTCCACGTTATAATGTTTTTTAACCATATGACAAATGAGGAAAAGCTAACTACATTAATGCACAGTAATTTATACTAGTTATTTATATTTTTTTCATATATTTTACTTACTTAATTCAATACTGAATTAAAATAATATTTTCTTTAATATATACCAATGATCAGTAATAATTGATCTTGTTAACGAAGTGCAACTTTTGTAGTACCTTCTCATAATCTTAAAGTGTAGACTTGTCACTAATCCGAATAGAAAAGCCAGTTGAATATAGATCTGCAGAAAAAATAATCATCAATAATTTGGTTTCACCATTATCTTATATTCTTTTCATTTATTTCCACACCTATTCAATTGTAATGAACAATGTTGTGTACTTTTATTCAATCCTTTTACTTTATCTTCATTCATTTTGCTATCCTTGATTTGATACGCAGGAGTATAATTAGTTGCCAATTATTTTAATAAATATTTTGCTTTATTATTTTAGATGTAAATATCGAAAATAGATTTTAATATCTAATGAACTAAATTTGATAATTAAATTAAAATATTGATTCTAATGTAATCTAATTTATCTATAAAAATGGTATAAAATATTGATATTAATATTGAAATTTAAACTATAAAAATAATTTAATCTATAAAAATATTTAAATATAATACAAAAACTAGTTACTGTTTCCAATTACTGTTTCCAATTAATGTTAAACACAGAAAATATGTATGCAAAGAATAAATACATAAATAATAAATAAATTACTATACAGTGGTCAAAACTAAATAGGAAAAACTATAAATGGTTTTAAAAATCAGTTAGGGCTTTCTTCTAATTTTAGTAACCTATCATCGTATCTTAATACGTAAACAAAAATTGATTTTTTTTAAAAATTAAGTATTTAAATTTTTTAAATACCATGTATGAAACAAAAAATAATGTTTCGTATATTAAAAAATTTAATTAAAAAATTTTTTAATATATTTCCTTTGAATTTTTTAATACATGATTTGTTTTATTTATGGGCACATGTGCAGATATATTTTGAGTGTAGAGACACTAATATAATAAAAAAAATATATACTTATAATAAGAATATATTTTTATATAAAATATTATAATAATTTTTAAATAATCAAGTTTTTTAATTTATATTATAAACAATATAAAATTTTTAAAAATAATTTGTTCATTCAGATTTTATTTTTGCTTTAAAATAAGTAATTGTTTTTATGATTATCAACAATAAATAAATTATTTAAATATCTTTGTTGCTTATAAATTAAAAAATATTTTATAATTTGTACTTTGAGAAATTGACTACTTTAATAGGATCCTACTTTAACATGCCATGGATTTCCACATTTAAAATTGGCAAATTCAAAAGAGCCAATAAACTTAAATTGTGCTTGCGCATGGCTTAAAATGTCACTACGCTTCATAAACTTCAATGTTCATATGAGATGCATTCAAATTATTTAGTTTAAAAAAATGTCTATAAAATATGTTATATCTGTAAGAATTTTAACACGATCCGTATATATACTAAATTTTTTTAATTTGAAATATTTATAGCGAATTACATTAATTTGAATGGAAATTCTTTTAATAAATTTGAAGAATGGAACACGTTCGTCAATTTAAAGATTCTAATAAAAAGTAATTATTTATATGATTCTTGAATAATATTTTTAACCTATTAATAAAGTCGTACTTTTGTATTATTTACTTTTATATTACTTTTATATTATTAATATAATTCAATAAATTATAGAAAACTTTTATTAGAATAATTTCAATAGTATAAATATAATGATTGTATATTAAAATTAAAAGTACATAATTGAAATTTTCTCAAAAATAATTATCAGTTTTATGTTCACTCATACATAGCATCTTATTTTAGTTTTAATACTGATGATGACTCAGATTTTTCTTTGATGAAAAGGATAAAAATGGAACCAGATGGTATTTTATCACACGATGAAGATATTATGGCACAATTGCAACAAGAAAGCTCAGACTTAGAAGTTGAACCAAGTTTTACATTAGAAAGTGCAATAAACGGAGATGATTATAATGAAGGTATACTCATGCAGCATATGGATATTAGAGAACCTTTATCAACACTTAGAAATCTTTTAGAACAGCGATTAGGTGTTGAATTATCAGATTATTCTTTTTGGTTACAAGATATGCAAATGGTAAAACATGAATATTTAAATTTTTCTAAGAATTATATGTTACATATTATTCATTTTTTATAATAGTTGGAAAGTCACAAAAATTTAGTTGATCAATGTGTACAAGGAGAAGGATTAGTACAAGTTAATATACAAATAAAGCAACAACAGCAACGTATAAACATTATAGATGTTCTTAAACCTGCAGAAGATTATGTTGATATAGAAGAAAATTGTAAGTGTTACTTAATAATTATATAAATTACTTAAGTTGTAATATTTTTATATAATTTTATATTTGTAAAAGCACCGACACGTTCTGAAGAAAATAAAAATATTATTAGATGGATGGTTGATGCTCAATACAAAAAAGATCAGGTAATCAAATTTAAGATTGATTAACTATTATTCTTATAAAAATGATTTCATATTATAATTTTATTTTCTACTTAAAATATTTTTTACTTTATTGTGAATAAATATATCAAAATCAAATATTAAAAACAGTGAAAAAATTATATCAATTTTGAAAAATAAATTATTATGTATTAACAATAGTATTCTATATTTGTTTCTAGGAACGTTTGAAAATCCCTACAGATCCAAAAGATTGGACACAAACACACGTAAAGCATTGGCTTCAGTGGGCAGTTAGACAATTTAATCTTGTTTCACTTAAATTAGTTGATTGGAATATAACAGGAAACCAACTTTGTAATTTAACACTTGAAGAGTTTCAAACAAAAGTACCTCTTGATCCTGGAGATATATTTTGGACACATTTAGAATTATTAAGAAAATGTAAATTTGTTGGTAAGATGCATTATTATTTTGTTAAAAAATTGAATCTTTTTATAGGAACATACTATATGAGTAAATAATTTTTTCTTTTAAAGCTGTAGTGCAAAAAGATTTTATACCTCAAACGAATGATTGTATTTCAAAAAAAACTGTAAAATCAAAAAACCAAAAATCTCTTAAAGTTCGACCAATTGTTAATCAACAGACACGTATAATTAATGTGCCCTTAACTAATCTTGATTCTACACCTTTGTCGCTAGCTACTTCCAGTAGAACAGTTAATAATGGACAAATACAATTATGGCAGTTTTTATTAGAACTTTTAACTGATCGAGAACATAAAGGTGCAATTCAGTGGATAGGAACCGAAGGTGAGTTTAAGCTCAATCAACCAGAAACTGTAGCCCAATTATGGGGTGCACGTAAAAATAAGCCTTCAATGAATTATGAAAAACTTAGTAGAGCTTTGCGGTACTACTATGATGGTGACATGATTTCTAAAGTTCAAGGTAAACGATTTGTGTATAAATTTGTTTGTGATTTAAAACAATTACTTGGCTATTCTGCTGAGGAATTAAGTAAGTTAGTAGATGAAGATAAACAATATTTTTAAATTTATTATTTAAAATATTGTAATTTTTTAAAAATTTTTGCCGAAAAATTTGTTGTAAATATATTTTAAAATTTTATATAAATGTAATATTAAGAATTTTGTGTTTATTTTTATATGGATCAAATTTAACATAATTTTTTAATCCTTTATTCAATTTATTTTGTAGAATTATATACCAAAGAAAAGTAAATTTTTTTTAAGATTATTAAAAGTACATTAAATAATATAAATTTTAACGTAAAGTAGTTTTATGTTATAGTTATGAAAACCTAAAATATAAATCTTATTAACATTGTTATTAATTATTGAATAAGATGAGAATAGCATTATAATAAAATTAATTTATTTCTTAAATTTCTTAGTATACAGAATTAGTTGTTTAAAAATTATTTTATTCCCATTTGTTAATATTTTATTAATAGAATATTAATAATTAATGCTATTCTGAATCACAAATATAAAATATTTAGTCTAAATGAAATTCAATAATGCAATTCTCTGCATTTATACAAGCAAATAAAAAATTTTGTACGAAAAATATAAGATAATTTACATCTTAATGCAAGAAACAAACAACATAATCAGTAAAAAATGTTTATATTCTAAATTAAATATTTGTTATTATTCCTGTACATATTGACCAACTATTAATTAATATTATTCATTTCCTTAATTAAAAAATAAAAATATGATTGTAATATAAATGAATTATATATATATATAAATTTTTGTTCAATTTTCATTATCTATGTTACTCATAATTTTAAACAATCTTTTAATTATTCAATATCTTGCGTTTTTTACTACTACATATAAAAAGCGAGATAACGTATACATAATTGGTGTTTTATAATTATTATATATTTTATTATTGTATATCATGTATGTATTCACTTTTTATCAATTTTTGCATTTTAATTGTATTTTAATCAATTTGATAAGATATGTATGGTATTTTTAAAAATATATTAAAATATTTGTTTTACAGCTCGTATCACTAGTGAACGATAATATACGTACACAGAATTATATACTTATTATTATTATATATATATATTTATATATTTATATATTATAACTTATTCTTACATGACAATATTTTATTTTATTTCTTCCAATCAATAAGTTAAAAAATATGTTCTTACATTTATGTTTATATTTATCTTCTATATTTAACTAAGTAAATTTATTATTCCTAATTGTACTGTGTATATAAAAAGAATGTTTCATTGATTATGTAAATGATGATTTATTCATTATAATCGAATATTTCGATAATACTAAAACTAAAAAGTATTTAAATGCCTCGCGCACTTAGTGTCGCAATTAGCTAATTTAGGGTTTATTTTACATAATACATTCACACTTGTGATGTAATTGCGGACATCGGAACAACCTAATAATTTATTTATAAATGAAGGAAAATTTCACTACAAAACCCTCGGAAAGGATACAAATAGATTAAAATATACATTGAATAATAATAGTCAGAATGTTGAAAACAGAATTGGTCGCTTGATAATCATTTCTAGCGCGTATAATGCTAATTGTTACTATGTCGACAATATTTTTTATTATATAGAATAATAGCGAGTTTATGACAATAGTTTTATTCCAGTTTAAACAGCTATCATAACATCGTTGTTTTATCATTAATTTATAACCTCTTGTACAAAGTGGCACATGTATAAATATAGAAAACGGTATTGAAGATATTTACAACAGTGAACATTCAAAATGAAATCCTTGTTTAATTTGATCATCGATTTTACTACGTTCATACTTTGTAAAATTCTTTTAAGGCTGTTTTATCATAGAAGTAGAAAAATATAAAGAGCTAATTACATAAAGTAGCGGCCACCATTTGACTAACTTCTCTCTAGTATATTTTTCTTATATATTTTTCTACATACAAATATCCCTTCTGAAAAGATTACCAAATAGGAATCGTATTAACTAAAATAAATCGCATATGAATCGTAAAATATTTGAAATTTATTTTAATCTAACATTTTAACTCTCCCAAATAACCTAATCGTATCTTATGCATACCAGATCTTATTTTAAATATCTGATATTTATAACTATTACACAGGTGTAACAACTTATATTTGAAGTAGTATAATTATCGGCATGTATATCATCTATTGTATACTGTTATATATATTCAACTACTCTGTATATATATATATATATTAAAACATCTTTTTTTTATTCAAAATAAGTCTTAATGTAACTTTAAAGGCTTAATTTTTTTGTTTCTTTTATTATATTATTTTACATTCTACATTTAAAATTAAAACATGTATTATTAATATATAAATTATAATATGTTAATTTTGGTACTTTGATCAATAATTTCATGATCCAACATAGTTTACTAATAATGACGCATTCTACTATATTTTATTTCAGTTATTTCTCTTTAATATTAAAATTTCATTTTATTCATTTTTGATAATAATTATTACCCAAAAAATTTCCTTGACAGATTTTTGAGAATTTATTTCTTAAACGATGAAGAATTGAAGTATGCGATCAATTTCATTTTGATATATACAAGCGACATGTTAAACAAAATATGTTATAATTACAAATTATCAAATAGTTTATATTTATTATTATATACTATTCTTAAAGATATTATGTATTCTATCATATTTTTAATTAACTTCTCCATTTCTGGTATAATTTATTCATATTTAGATATTTAATTTGGCAACAAATATGTGATTATTTATTATTTATTTACGGTATGTAATCAATAAAAAATTAATTTTTCAACCTATTATTGATATTAAACCTTAGTAATCTCTAAAACTTAAAATTTTTTACTTTATGTATTTACTTTAATTGAAAACTAATTATACTTAAATATCTGATAATATTAGTTAATATAGTGTTTTTTCTATTGATCCTTACTGTATTATATTATATTTTGTCCTGTAATTTTATTAAATATATTTAGAATAAAAATTTGAACATGCTACAAAAAATTACAGACATTACTTAGTGATTTTTTAGATTTTAAAATAATATAAAATTAATTCTATCTGCACAAAATGTATCTGATGATCCGGCTTGCTTCACCAAGGTGTGGCAATCCGGGTCGAAGGACCAAAATTGTTTAGAATTAAAGAACCACGAAATCTTATATAGGAAAAATGCGTGGGTAAGTGGAAGAGTTGGTGCATTGATTCAATATTGAACACATCTGTTTTTTATTGCTGCTTATTCCGTTTATTTTCCACTATAGGGATGATTCTTGTTGATGGAAGTCAATATATGAACTCTTGCAGCTCTGCGGGAGTTAGCACGTGGCGTTAGTGTGTACGACGATGGAGAAACGAGGTTGAGGTTCCTCGTAACGTGGTGCCCTTGATGGTAGGTTGCCCTGAGAAAGAAGAGGTTGTAAAGCTCTTACCACTTCTTCTCTTAAATCTGCTACTGCTTCGTACGCTTGAGTCGTGGGTGATAAGGACGAACTCTTGTGACTCGCGCACCTTGGCACGATAGTAACCTTGAATAGATGAGTCGTGAACGATAAACGCGAATTCTGATTCTTGCCCCTTTGATGTGCTCTGGCACAAGCGGCAGTTCCTCTAAAAAAACTGTTTTATGTTTTTGAATTGGCCTTGAGCTTGAAGTATGCTCTGTAACCTGGCTCCTGGTAGGTCCTTGGGTGGAAGATGGTGGCCATGGCACCGTGTTTTTATGAATGAAAGGGTGAAGGGGCGAATGCATGCCGGTTGGTCTTAACGTTTGGGTGGGGGTTGGGCGACCGTCTCAAAAAAACCCAAACATCTGAGTTTTCCACAAGTTTTATTAGCAACCATTTTCAGGATTCGAATGACTAGTTAATGCTTTTGGGTTTGCAAGACGTTTATCCACTTACAAAATGTTCTCTCAATTTCGAACACTATCCAATAATTCCAATTATATGATAGTTATAAACTAATTCTTGTAAGATTTAAAATGCATTAGATAAAATAAGATTCGTCTTAATATACTTTTTATAAAGCTATTTAATCAATTGAATATTTTAACAATTACTATAAGAATATTTTTTGTTAATTTGTTTGTATAGATTTTCCTTAATCATTAATTTTTTGGTAAAAAGTTATAATTAGTTTTCTTTAAGTTTTTAATATATATAACTTGAATTGGTAATTATTTTTTCTTAACTTACCGAATAAATATTTTTTCAAATTATTTAGGTTTGTATTAATATATAAAATGCATTCTCTGATAGTAACTAATACTTTCGCTATATTTATTAAATACATCATTTACGTACATATGAATATTATGTACATATACATAGAAGTTAAATATACTACATTGTAAATAATTGAAAAATATTAAATTGGTGTATATTAAAGTATAACCTATGGTCAATTTGCTCTGAAACTTTGTAGGACTGTCTATCCATTCGCTTTTAGTCATCACTCTTCGTTTAGATTTTAATTATCCTTCTAAAATTTTATATTTATCTTATTAATATTACAATTTACATTATTAAATATTATTTCACAATTACAATTAGAAATAGTTTTCACTTGTTTTTGTCTCATTGTACCGAAATAATTTTACGTAAAATAATATCCTTGTACAAAATTACTAAATTTAACTATATCAAAGTATGCTATAATGAGAGTACAATATTAGCTATACAGGTTTAATGCATTTCTAGGCTAGTCACTCAAATTGTCGAACAAACCACCTACCTAATATTTCGTAAAAGAGATGAAAAATCCATATTATAAATTGAAAAATACAGTAAAATATAATGTAAAATTAATATAGGCAATTAATAACATTCAATCTAACAATTTATATTGGTGCAGTGAGCTCGTAAATCTGCATACAAATGACCACGCAAAATCAATCGCCAATAATTCATTTCATATACACATGCATAAGATCGTACTTATGGTTGTTTAAATACCAGTATACAAAACGATCCTCTATTTCTATTAAAACATATTTTATTTAGCCAATTATTAAGTTTTATATTACCTTATTTTGTTCAAAATTA